TTCAATGCATTTATGGAGAAAAATTGTTAGGATAAAAATCAAATAACTAATGTTAATTAGAATTGCCACTGAAATCTTACAAAACCTGTATCTGTTAACAACGGCATTTTGTTTACTAACCTCTTCTCTAAAAGTTGCTCAGAAAGAATAACCAGTCAGTCACCTTGCACATTTAAGCTTGCAACTGCCGAACATTGTTATGAAAAAAATGTTTTAAATTTAAATATTCAAAGTATCCAAACTTATATGAAAAATTCTAATCTGTTATAATTGTATTATGATGTTTAAAAATAAGGTTTTATGTTCTATTTCTCCTTTCAACTTTAGTTCTGCTGGGTACTGCATTATTGGTGATGTGAATATAGTTCACGATGAGACCTAAACTCACACATTCAAGGGATCTACAATTTATTGAACCCCGATCTTTCAACCGGCGACAAAATTACATGAATACTATGAATGCTGTCAAAGATGAAGAAGATACATTGAAACTTTTTCAAAATGGATAAAAAGTGTAAGATGGATAGTGAAATTTCGTATTAAAAGGTTGAGCGACAAAATGCGAAGCATCTATCCTTCGGCCTTCCGTAGTCTACAATGATTCAGAAGTAATGAAATATGGAGATAACGAACATTATTCAAGCTCAAAGTCCATTAAAACAATTCGGGAGCAGAGCAAACACGGACCTCCAAACATCAGAGGTGGGATCAGGTGCCATGGAGAAGTGAGCATCCTCTGTCGCCGTGTGCTCATTGTCATGATCGGTAAATAACGGAAAAATCCGTCGGCAATTCAATGTGTTAATTAACAATACTCAACGGAGGCAGGTTACTTACAAGTACATTGAGGTTACAAATGTATCAATAATTTCGTCCAAAGTCAACATTTCGCAAATTCTATGCTCGATACAATGATCTTGTTTGCCTTGTTTGAAATTCAGTAGTTAGATTGAATGTTGACTGATGTATTTAATACGCATTGTTAGGCCTTTTTTTTTTTATCAAAATGAATTTTCTCTACCCGATCAAGACAAGGGGTTCACGATGGGTTTGACAGGAGATGCTTACTCCTCCATGGCACAGTATCTAACCTCTAGTATTTTCAGAGATCCCTGAACAATAATTGGACTTTTGATCATTATTACTTTTCATCGTCTTTACGTTTCATTTTACAACTTTTCAAGATGACTGATGTCTTTCAATATCTATCTATCACGTGTGTTGGAAGATGATTCAGACTCAATCCGTCGGTTCCTTAAACTTAAATTTGCCAACAAAGGAATAGATGCTGTGTAACATTCTTAATCATAAAAAGTTCAGTCTTGCATTCCACTATTTTTCAAGTTGAAGTCTACACCCTGCACTTCCCGCAGATATTCTCAAATTGTTGCTTCTAAGTTTTTCATTTATAACGTATTTTTTCGTTATATTTCCTGATCATGACAAGGAGCATACGGCGGGTGTGACCGGTCTGCAGGGGATGCTCACTCCTCCATGGCACCTGATCCCACCTCTGATGTTTCGGAGATCGAGTTTGCTGTGCTCCAAAATTTGTATTGTTTAATGGACTTCTGAGCTTGAATACTGTTTGCTATCTTCATACATTTCATAAACAAATCTTACAGTGTCTAGATAATGAACAGCTAAAACAAAATCCTTTTAAATGTTCTTGCTCTTTTTCTTCTTTCAACTATAGCCCCTCTGGACCCGTCATCACCGGTGATGTTAATACAGTTGAAATGAAGACTTAAAAGCAATCACTTTAAAAGGTCCAAAATACAGAGAGATCCGATCTTTCAATTCGCAACAGAACTTCATTTCTATTATGATTTCTGTCGAAGATTATGCCAGATTATTGGGCTAAATATGAAGGGAGGAGCTGAACATTTTGTCAAAATAGATGAAGTGTTTTAGAAATATATTAGAGAACCTTATTAGAAAGTTAAAAGACAACGTGCTAACCATCCATCCTGCCATTTTCACTAAATTGGAGGTGATAAAAAATCTGAAATACTGATGGAAAAGCCATTAAAAGCCATTTCAAAAGGTACATATTCGATTTATACCAAGTGGAATCAGTTTTACATGTTTACGTGTTTTTTATGTTGTTTACATGCATTTTTAATTAGAATAAAAAAAGATTTGATACTATAAACTTAATATAGTTTATAACATAAAAAGATTAGAGATATATAGTTGAATTTAAATTTATTGGGTCAAGTTAAATACCATTTTATAATAATTTCTTTTTATACAAGTCAATAGTCACGACATGGTAAGAATTTTGTAGCGATGTGCTTACCTATATGAAAAAAGCGCATGTTCTGATGAAGACGATCTAATTAAAATCTGATCCTTTGATCCGCTCGCATAGATCGCTTCTCTTGAGTTGCGATCTATCTGAGTGGATGAAAGGATCTGATTTTTATCAAATTGGTAAAAAGATGCAGTCCTAGTAATTTCAAAATAGCTTTAAAGTATGTATATTTATAAAAAAAATTACGCTTATATGGACAGAGTTAGAAATACCTGTACAACTTATAGAACATCTTAAATTCCATTCTTCCATTTATTTATAATAGTCGGCCGAGTGACGCAGTGGTAGAGCGTTTGTTCTAGAGTAAGGAATTGATCTTGCGTCGCGGGTTCGAATACCACTGCGGGACGTGGAGAACGGTCCTTCGGAAGAGTACGTATAAACCGAGATCCCGTGTCGAAGTTGGTGCTGCACGAAAAAGATCCCTCTCTGCTCAAAGGCGATAAGTGCCGAGTACAGGTCTAAATTTGCAGCCCTCCACCGGCAAGTGGTGGCGTCTAAATAAGAGTGAAAAATTCTCGAAGGGACGTTAAATAAACAAACAATTCATTTATAATATGATAACATAATATGAATTTTATTTTTAAAAAGAGAGAATTGATTAATTATGCTTTTAACTGGAGTATTTTGACGAAAATGCCCATTCTAATTTCCAGTTAAAGCATCCATTCTTCAAGATAAATTCAATGATGTCATCCAAACAGAAAATTCCATTTGGATGAACATTTTAATTCATTCCAGTTCTTGTCCTGATTGAGGTCTTTCACAGAAAACAAAGCGTCTTCCGTATGAGGTACCATGAAATACATATGTACTTGATAAATTGACATTCATATTATATTATATAACTGAACCACCGCCTGGCTGCCCATCATAGAAGACTAGAATTTTATCATTTTAGCCGATTGAAAACTACAAGGATTTTTAGCCGATTGAAAACTACATGGATTTTTAGCCGATTGAAAAGTACATGGATTTTTAGCCGATTGTTTGTTTGTTTGTGTGTTGTTTAACGTCCCTCTCGAGAATTTTTCACTCATATGGAGAAGCCACGAGTTGCAGGTGGAGAGCTGCAAATTTTGACCTATACTCGGCACTCGGGGCCATTGAGCAGTAAGGGATCTTTTTTGTAAATGTGCTAAAAATCCATGTAGCTTTCAATCGGCTAAATATGGATGCAGTTTTCAAACTACAAAACTACATGTATTTTTAGCCGATGGAAAGCTACATGGATTTTTAGCCGATTGAAAGGTACATGAATTTTTAGCCGATTGAAAGCTTCAAATTATCCTGAAAACTGCAAAATTAAAAAAAAAAACAGATTCATCACGAGAAAAAATTTTAAAAATAGGAAATTCAGAGAATTTTGGACCCCGTTTTCGCGTTCTTATTGATTTGGGTGCGGTGTGATCTTTTTGAGTCCTTAAATATTTTATTTAATTTCATATACAAATGCAAAACCGAGTTCGTTATTCTTGGAGGCTGTTAATCTTCTGTAATGACAATATCAAATCTTATCCATATTATATACAGACGCAAAACCGAATTCGTTATTCTTAGAAGCTGTTAATCTTCTCTAATGACATTCTCAAATCTTAGCTGTCGATCCTTTTATATCAATAACTATGAACATGAAGAAAATAAAATCTGGAAGCATTCCTCGTAGTAAGTTAAAAACTAGTAGATGAAAGATATGAACTATAATAAACACATAGGAGAACGTCTCAATTTGAATTGTCATATTTAGTTGTTTTCGATATCATCAGATATATAAGAAAATTGGCGAATTGTTTTTCGAGAAAAAAAATCATGTTCTTCTCAGAGCACTTCCTCTTTATTGATTATGTGTCAGCAATATTTATCATAAAGGAATCATCGACTTCATCCTACAATTTTACTTCTCATCGATCATTCAAAGAGAAGTCACCTGACAAAGTCAATTACCGAGCAGTAAATATTGGACAATTCACTTTCACACATCGGATAAAGAAAAATGACAAATGCACAATTTTTGCATGCTTTCTTTCATATTGGATTTGTGTTATACAGTGGTAGGTATTTGAAAAAAAAAAAAGGTTCATAGAATTAAGTGTTTCATATATTTTAAATATCGTTTGTTTGCTTTTTTTAATTCACGAAGTTGACAACGATATCATATACGTTGTCATCAAAGATACTAGTACGCCATAATAAAGGTGCCGTAATTAGGAAAAAAATTTAAGATGCATTGACCCTCTGATAAGAGGTATAACTCTCATTGGGATAAATTACTATTATTTCTTTATAAAATTGTCAAGTTAATTCATGTAGGCCATTCTTAAAAAAATTGCCCGGCAAGGTCTGTTGAAATTATGTGCATTTTAGTTATAAATGATATTTCTTTTGGAAAATCATGATTGGTAAGGAAAAAAAAACATGAGTGAGCAGAAGGGTGATGAACCTTAAATGAATAGCAATTATACTTTCCTAGTTTCTCTTTTTTTTATTTTTATTTAAAACTTACAGGCGAATCTTGGTAGTTGTTAGTAAAACAATCTCTGATTTCCGAATAATAAATGAAATAATGTTCAAGCTTATATTTTATTAATTGAAATTGCCAAAAGGAATAACTCTTTATGAACCAACATATCTGCCTCTGATTACCGAATTATAAATGAAATAATGTTCATGTTAATCAATCGAAATTGCAGAAGGAATAACTCTTTATGAACCAACATTTACCAGTGACTGGATCACCGTAGAAGCTCAAGATGACAATAAGTGTGAATTCTACGTCCCTTTTCTGGATGGTTTTAAAACAACAACCAGACCTGTCAAAGTAATAGTTGAAGTAAAAGTCGAAGATGATGGAGAATCGTTCATCTTTAACGCTTTCGGTTCCTCACCACGAGATGATGACAAAAATGAGGAATATGGCGGGGTTGTTTATTTCTACAATGCAAGTGGTGTGCTTATTTTCTTGCCAAACAGGTATCGTGGAGATGATGATGGGAAAGCTGTATATCTAGGTTTGTAAACTTGTTTTTTTTTTCTTTACTTTTATTTTGTTTCTTTGTATTTTGAAATTAAACATAATATATAATTTGGTCGTAATATAAAGACCATTCCAGACCTGTGCATTAAAAATAACAGAACAATCAAGGTTTAGTTTTCAGTGAATATCAATATAAATTCAAAATTTTTTCGCAAATGTCATGAATCAGAATTTTTGCAAATATTTCATAAGATAAGGAAAAAGACAAGTGAGTGAAAAAATGTTGTCAATCTAATCCAAAGCAAATACATGATGTAAATATATGCAAAGACTGGTCTCTTCACTCCTTTATGTTTTTAAATATGTAAAAATCTGCAATTAAGCATCTTAACTTTTTTAGAGCTATATATGGTGTACAGAAAAAAAGTTTAGTATCTCCTAGTTATTTTGAAATTAGAAATAGTAAATTTGTTGTTGGTAACTGACCATAAGACTTAAAAAAGAGGCCCATGGGCCTTGATGGTAACCTTAGTATATTATGAGTACCTCTGGTTTCACCACTTTAGCCAAACCTGGAAATGGAACTCTGGCCCCATGTGACAACATTTTTTTTTTTACTGTTCTGAGGACTGTATAATCATTGTTATATCCATACAGTTTGTCCCATACAAGTTCTGAAGGTAAGTTAATAAATTTTCCATATACCGGTACATCCAACTGAGCCACACGCTGTAGCCTGACCCATAGACATCGGAGACATAAATTATTTTATAATTTTATTACAGGCCTACAGCTAATTATAACAATGCAAACAATTTGTCTGCTAGATATCTATGATATTTAAAAAGATATTCAATGATGTAATGCAATGCAATAAATGACCAACCTAGCCCAACCCTAGGGTCTGAACCATTGATCAGGGGGCCATGAATTTTACAATTTTGGTAGAGGGTGAGTGTTAATTATAATCATGTAAACAGCCGTTTCTCTGTCACCCGTATAGTGTATTTTCAGTGTCTGATCAACTTAGACACACCGTGCGGTCTTAAGCTATATGAAAGGGACAACAACTTTATAATTTAGAAATAGGGTTAAGTACTCCTTAAATTATATAATTAGTTTTCTACGGAAGCCCAATAGTGCAAACCAAAAATAAATAAACAAAAACGAAATTATTAAATAAAGAAAACGAAATTTTTAAATAAAGAAAACGAAATTATTAAATAAAGAAAACGAAATTATTAAATAAAAAACTGAAACTAAAATACGGAATTTATAGATGTGGATGGTAAGGGCCTGAACCCATGAATCATTCCATAAAGCACACGTCTTCTATGACCTGATTTTGTTTCGACATTAAAACAAGTGTGATATTTGCATTTACACTCAGCTATTCCCGTATCGATAACATAACCAGTTGGAGTAGACAATCATAATAGATGAATAGGGGAGAATTTTACCTTTGGTTATCCAATATGCTTAGATCTATGTTTTTATCTTACATTAACATGATTAATGTGAACTTTGACCAGTTTGATGAATTGGCCAGTGATGAGAAGTTTACGTTAACATTAGCTTTCTTAAACCCTCAACTCAGAAGGTCTAATTATTAGCAAACAATGAGTTTGGACATGAAACATCAAAGAGATCATGCTAATAAATTGCACAAATATTAAGATATACATGTCCCTTAAGATTCCGTTGTTTACAACTGCTGAATCTTATAACATTTAAGAAATTCCCATGGCTATACATCATTTTTCAATTATAGCACAGTACAAAAAAATGCTGTAAAATGATACGTTACCGATCGGAACCCATTGTAAAAAAATGTTTAATGAGAGCAAGTGCAAAAATTAAACAAGACAAAGTTGTTACAATGAGTAGATTTTAATGACTGCTTATTTTATTAAAAATTAAGCAAAACACTTCTAATTTCTTGGTCATTTTATCAAAGCATAATTAGAAGTGATGCACTAACTATTTGTTCTCACATATTCTAAATGACAGATTCTCAATCTGCATTTATAAGTCAGTGATAGTTGTGAACAAACAATGCACACACTTGCATAACAAATCCAACAAAGTATTCAAATCATTCTCTTTATTTTTTCAACAACATAAGATTTATGGGGGTACACAGAGAGGGCGCTAGATTTAGTTCGGGGGGAATTCAGCAATACAGAACAGAACAGAACATTTATTTTCTAATTTAGAGCCCATAACAGACAAGTATGAAATTATTACAATAATAAAGAAAAGATATGCCAATGGATAGTACAACAATTTGTAAATGACACTGCTCATTTCAACAATGATATTGTATTATTTCAGTTAAAGGGAATACTATATATAAAACTGTATGGCTACTACAACATGTTATCATTTATGAATTTGCCCACAGAATTAAGAGTTTCTTTGTCTTCAGTACTGAGTAACCAAAAAAGTTTTTGTTCATCATCTAATGCCGAGAAATTTGGAAATTTACTTTTAATTGATTGAAAAATTTCTTTTCTTTGATGATCATATTTTTTACATGTTATGAGAAAATGAGTTTCATCATCTACACTGTTAGAGTTACATCTATTGCATAATCGATCTTCTCGAGGGATGTTGGTAAATCTTCCCACTTCAATTTGCAATCTGTGACAAGAAATTCTTAACTTACATAGAGATTTTCTGTGATGAAAATTTTTAACTACTGATAAATAATTCTCACAACCCCAATTTTGTTTGAGTTTTACATATGTGCTTAATTTACCATCAGTATAACTTTGTTGACTTGTATACCAATTTTTTACATAATAATCTAATATGGTTTTATGACAGAGTGACTTAAATTTATGCTTCCCATAACAAATTACTTCATCTTTGATATTCAGTATATTTCTTAATTTCTGTACAAATGCGAACCATGGGTTCTTTCCATGTACAAAAAGATTTTTACTACATTTATATGCATCTTTAAGTAAAGGAAATATTCTGTGGACAAATTTTCAAATCTATACCAACTTTTGATTAACAATTTGACAATGTCATAATGCAGGGGGAACCTTCCCAATTCAGACAATACTGCAAAATTTGTACTTTTCTTATGAACACCAAGAATATATTTACAGAATTTAAGGTGTATTCTTTCACAAAGTAGATTTCTGAAACAGTCTTCAACTTCTAACTTTTGGCATTTTAGGAATCATTTAGTATTGAGATTACTTGCACCCCACACCTCTGCATTATACAAAAGAATTGGTTTAATAGTAGAGTCAAATACATGTATACTCGTTTTAATCCCAGGATTCAAATTAATAAAATCATTTCTCAATTTATAATATGCTTTTAACGCCTTTTTATAAAGCTCTGATCTTGCTACATGAAAACTTCCAGATGCAGTTAAGTGAACTCCAAGATATTTGTACCTAGATACACAGTCTATCCTATTATTTTGAAACATTAATTTTTGCGTGAAATTACGACCAGCTTTATTAAAGATCACGACTTTAGTTTTTTGAATGTTTACCTTTAAACACCAATCAGAGCAATACTTTTCAAGTTTAGAAAGTCTTGCTTGTATACCTTTAGCTGATGATGATAAAATAACAATGTCATCTGCATACATTAAACAGTTAACAGTTTTTGTCTGAAGTGATACGTCATCAATACATGAATCTAAATATGATGGAAAATCATTTATAAATATTTTAAATAAAGAAGGGCTCAAGTTATCCCCTTGACGGACACCTATAGCTATTGGAAATGGATCCGAGAAGAACCTTCCAATTTTCACACATGCCTGATTATTCTTATATATATTACTTATAATATTAGAAAATTTAGATCCAACATTCATGTGAAGTAATTTGAGCTTCAATCCTGTGTGGATAACGCTGTCAAAAGCTTTATGAAAGTCAATAAAACAAGCAAATAGTCTTCCTTCTTTTAAGCTACAGTATTTATCAATTAAACACCTTAGCACAAATAGATGATCAGATGTTCTTGCATCTTTGGTAAAACCCATTTGAGATTGGTGAATTAGATTATGTTCTTTAAGAAATTTATCTAATCTAGAGTTCAGAATGCTGTTGAATAATTTGCCAAGTGTGCTGGTAATTGTAATACCCCTATAAGGACAAGGTATGGTAATGGCCGAATATAGCCCCTTATTTGATGTAAAAATCAGAACACAGTTAAAATTGTGTCTAGTTTGTAGTTAAGAACTTAAAATGATGCTTGTGTTAAAACCAGCACTAATTCTGATTCAAAGCTTACACAGAGGCCACAAGAGGGTGCAGAAGTAGGACATTTTCCCGAATTTCCACAATTCTGGTGGAATTTCGTCAAATTTGAGATACGTTTTGCTTCGGGAAACATAGAGCACAAGCTTGCCTATCTGAGATTTTTATACATAAGATGCATATGATACTAGTGTATGAAATATATATAAATTTGGTAGATAGGCAAGCTTGTGCTCTATGTTTTCTGAAACAAAATGTGCTGTAAAATTGACGAAAATATGCATAAAAATGAGAAAATTCGGAAATTGATACATTTTCTGACCTTCCTGTGACCTCCGTGTATCCCATAACTTAGAACCAATACTCATTTTGTGGCAGGGGTGACAAAAGGTTTTTATTAATAAACTGTTGCATCATTCTAAATAACACCCCAAACCAGGGGCCAAAAAGGGGTCTTAGCCTATCTTGTCCTTTGCAGGGTTGTTTGGATCCTCAGACTTAAAAATTGGACTTATGTACCCGTTACTCCAAGTTTGAGGATAAATACCGTATGTGAAACAACTATTAAAGAGCTCATGTATACAGGAGAGTAAATAGGACTGACTATGTTTTAACATTTCATTAGAAATCAAATCAAGCCCCTTGGCTTTTCCATATTTTAAATTTGCTATCGCATCTACAATTTCCTTATGTGAAATCTTGAAATCCAGTTCATTAAAGGATGGATTTTTCTCCATGTCAGCCAAAATTAAACCTAGCTCTTGTATCCTTGATTTAAAAGAGTTATCACAAACAGAATGAAGGTTACAAAAATGATTTACCCACGTTTCAGAATCTATATTTGCGGCAGAATTGTCTTTATTATCATCTTTTAGGTCATTAATTAATTTCCAATATTGTTTTGGTTGTTTATTTTGAAATGCATCAATACGATACGCAAGGTCTTGACCTTTCAGCGATTCATGAGCTCTTTTGGAATGTCATTAATTTTATGTAAGCAGAAACAGCCATCCTCGCTACGTCCAGGCTTACAGGCTCAAACTTTGACGTTGTGGGAATGCATCACAGCATCAAATTCCCGTAAATAAAATTGAACAGTTATGAATCATTTACTTTACAATGCGAATTATAGGCTGTGGGCACATAATGTTTTTCTACGTTTGTCAATTTGACATTTATCTAAGTTTGTTTTTTTTTTTATTTTTCATTTCCCCCACACTTGTTTTAATGTCGAAACAAAATCAGGTCTATAGAATTACTAAGTGATGCTTTATAACACGTGCGCTTTATGGAATGATTCATTGGTTCAGGCCCTTACCATGCACATCTATAAAATTCCGTATTTCAGTTTCAGTTTTTTATTTAGTAATTTCGTTTTTTTATTTAATAATTTCGTTTTCTTTATCTAATAATTTCGTTTTCTTTATTTAATAATTTCGTTTTCTTTATTTAATAATTTCGTTTGTCTTTTATTTAATAATTTCGTTTGTCTTTTATTTAATAATTTCGTTTTCTTTATTTAATGATTTCGTTTGTCTTTTATTTAATAATTTCGTTTTCTTTATTTAATAATTTTGTTTTCTTTATTTAATAATTCCGTTTGTTTTTTATTTAGTAATTTCGTTTTCTTTATTTAATAATTTCGTTTTTTATTTAATAATTCATTTTTTTATTTAATAATTTCGTTTTCTCTATATAATAATTTCGTTTTTCTGTTTCTTATTTTTTTGGTTTGCACTATTGGGGTTCCGTAGTTTTCCAACTAGATGTCTTTTTAAAAGAAGACAATTTTCAAAAACGTAATGTATTTGTAAATTACTAGCATGTCCGATTTAGCCCCATCCTGGGGCCTGAATGCAGGAACAAAAAGCCATGAATAATACAACTTTGGTAGAGTTAAATACACAATATAATAATGCAGTTTTTTCCTTCTCATTGTCCATGAGTGAAGCACACATTTTTAGACTGCTATCAACAGGAGTAAAAAGAAGATTTTTGAAGATCGCATAAATTTTATAGTTTTTACCACATCCCTCAGTCCCCAAGGGAGGAAGAGACCATTAAATTCACAAATTTCTTCATACATGTACCAGACCTGGTTAGAATTGTTTCAGCCATCCCAGAGAAAAAGCTGAAACATGCACAAAAGTTTACAACAGACGAATAACTCACCACGACGGACGAACACAGATACATGTAACAATAGATGACTCAGGTGACCTTAAAGGCCTCTTGCTCGTAACTAGAATATTCCTTTTCAGTAGGAAAACAAAATTACCGTACCCTAATTTAATATTTCACAATGATTTTATCTTCTATTTGAAACGTCCTTTGTATATATAATTAGTTTCATATAAAATGTATTGATCTCCAGATTTCACATATCGATAAGCAATGGTTATATCTCAGTTTAGTCTCTTATTGAAATTCATTATTCATATCTTTAGGACGAATCTTTGGTAGATTTGGTAGTGTTTTCACTGCTTGATGATTTGATTTATGAAGACATATATATATATATATATATATATATATATATATATATATATATATATATATATATATATATATATATATTGTATGATTGAAATGTTCTGACATACTAGTATCAGGCATAATTTTTTAGAGCAGGCCCGTAGTACGCAGGGTGGGGGACAGAGGAGGCGCCCTCCACTTATTCTTTATTCTGAGAAATTTTTTGATGTAGTTTTAATATGTAAATATGTAAATTTTCATTTGGAAGCTGCCCGCCTTAACCTTGTTGTTGCTTTACGGCCGAATAGTGGTAAATTCCAGCATTTTAAAAATGTACCGTCAAGTTGGAGAAAGGCCCAACTAATGATAGAACTTTCTCGAGATAATATGAGCTGTTTTTAAATATTAAATAAATCATGTATTTTTTGTGATTATGTTTACTATTTGTACATTACTACAACACTACTATGTATTGATGTACATAAAAATAAAACAAACTTAATTTTTTTTTTTACTTTTCATATATAATGCATTAACAATAGATATATTTTAATAACAACTTCTAATATATTTAGATTTAGTATTTGACTTTTATGAAGAAAAATATTTGTTACGGGACTTGTACATTTGTTAACACTATTTCTATGTTGCAATCTGGAAAATGGTTCGTAATGTTAAAATTTATTTTAAAAGGAATAAAGGACGTTTGGTACCAACCAACCTCTCATTCAAACGAGGAAGTTAAAAATGAATTTGTTGATGCGGAAGTTCGAGTAAAGATGTGGCGATATGACGATTTGCCCCCACAGTACGATTCTGGTTTCATATACACAATAGAATCAGGACATCAAGGTAAAATAGGAATGTGAACTGTTTAGGAACCCTCTATACATTGCACACTAAAGAGGTCTAATTCCATGGTACATGTATTTTTCTGCAGTTAGAGTGATCTGCTCTTATATCTAAAATGAAATAAATTGACATCTAAAGTCAATTTGTAATCAATTCAAGCAATTCAATTAGTTTTATTTGGGGGGGGGGGGGTCAATGACAGGCACTCTATACTAAAAATTAAATAGATAAAATTTTATATGTTATAATTTTCTTAGAGTCCAAAAAACAGTTTTCGTGGTGTATAGAGGGTCCTTAAAAGGGATATAATGTAGATCACAAAATTTTTGTGACACTTATTTTCGTAAAACAGACATTTGGTATTATTATAGCGAAACATAATTAATTTTCACGAATGTTGCTTATTGCTGTAAATAAACTTTAGTGGTATAAGTATATGCAAGAGTAAAATTTTCGCAAGTACGCGATCTAGAGTGAATAAAGTTCTCGGGAATAAAAAAAATGATTTACAGTCGTCATATTAATGAATTCAGTTAATTAAACGAAATTTTTATTTCTAAAAAAAAAAAATAACCATGTAGTATATACTTTCTCTTGTTCCGGAGAGTGGGAATTATCCCTGTGATACTGTACATTCCTTTTACGCGAGGAATTAATTATCGCGTAATTTCGCGAGAAACATCAGTGTCTTTTACTCGCTTTTATTTTCATAGTACTCATTTAATTACATGTTTCATCAGTCTGTATTGTTGTACTGGACTTATGTTCCCAATTAATCCTTGAATAACTTGTATATCTTGGGGTCCTACGTGTTCCAAAATTAAAAAGCATTTTCGGGAGATTGATTAAGAAAAATTGTCGCAAGTTTGGATATGTTTGTTTATATTTTCAAAACATACATCAAAGATTATTATTTTTTCTAATTAGGTCGACAATTATTAAATATTTTAGCCCAAACAGTAACAATCATGTCTTTTTTTAAGACGATTGGTTTCATCATTTGGAGCTTCAAAATTTCATTTTTCAGATTTATGTTTAGGTTTCAGTATTATTTCAAACATTGACAGACATGTAGACTTCCTTACAGTATGCCTACAAAAGTCTACAGTCGCCCGCGTGGCGCAGTGGTTAGAGCGTCTGCTCTAGAGTCTCGGAGTAAGGAGTTGATCCTTACGTCGCGGGTTCGAATCCCACTGTGGGACGTGGAGACCGGTCCTTCGGATGAGACCGTATAAACAGAGGTCCCGTGTCGCAGTAGGTGCTGGCACGAAAAAGATCCCTCACTGCTCATTGGCCGTAAGTGCCGAGTATAGGACAAAATTTGCAGCTCTCCACCGGCAAGTGGTGGCGTCTCCACATGAGTGAAAAATTCTCGAGAGGGACGTTAAACAACATACAAACAAAAAACAAAAGTCTACACCCAATTCTATTTCCTAATACCAACGTAAAAAAATCCTACTGTATCATGAGGGTAGGATGATTCTTACGAAGATAAATCAGATTTTATTTATTTTCTCGATTATTCTAATATATTAACATGCTCACTGAATGTTCAAATATGAATTATCGGCAAACTTAACACCACTAGGAAGAACCTTTTAAACAATTTATTCAAGTCCCTGTTGCAAATCAAATAAAAATTTAAATGGATCTAAAGTTGAATAAAAACAAAACGAATATATTTACTTCTCAGCTTTTTTTTTTAGCAAACAAAAAGAATATAAAATTTATCTTTTGTTTGGCATCGAGTATATAATGCAAATAAAAAATTATTCAATTCGAATGGGTTTTTTTTTTGCAATACAAATAGAAAATATAGAATACAAATAAAAAATTGTAGAATTTCAAATAGAAAATTACAGAATACAAATGGCAAATTATAGAATACAAATAAAAATTTTACAATACAAATGAAAAATTATTGAATACATATAAAAATTATACAATACAGATGGAAAATATCGAATATTGCAACGTTTGACATGCCATTCTTTTGTAGATAAAACTCACTTAGAGGTGCCCATCAATTTGACTTCAAATCCAGATATGATTGTAGTCCAAGCTGAACCAATAACAATTCTGGACGAAATGCCGGGACTAATTGCGGAAGGAGGCGGTAGTTTTGTAGCAATTGTTCACTTTAATTTTCAAACAAAACTTTAATAAAATTGAATTATTTTCTGCAAGCAAGAATTGAAGAAAGTAGTCACTATTTCGTTTTTATAAATCTCTATTTTTATTAATTAATCTGACATAGGCGTTCCGGGATGTCTTGGTTGTGGTGAACAAGCTGGTGGACTGTCATTTGCATACAACGCTTCTCATGTTCGGCTATGGGTTAAATTGAACTGTAAGAAAACATTATTTTTTTCTAGCTTTCGATTATATGTATATCAAAATGATAATAACATATATCAAACAAATCTAAGGAAATATTCCAACAATTGCTAGATCCGATAACTAGTGCAGCAGACGGATGGGGAGACGAAGACTATCCAACTGAATACCGTTTAATGTCCTCGGAAGTGAAAGTCAGGATTCTTGCCTGGACTTTTGACAATGCAGTGAACACATGTCAATGGAAAGAAACATTGACAACAGACATTGCAGAATCTGTACAAACAACTCCGAAGATGATATTCACGCGTGAAGTGGTAACCGAAGCTTCTCTTGTGATGGTGAAGGTACGTCATTCATTTAGTGCCCTGTTAATTCGAATTAAACGTAAGTTACTGCGAATTAAATTTGATCCGAGTTCAAAAATTTAATGCGAATTAGTTTAATTCGAAATAGTTTACTGCGCATTAATTTACTGCGAATTAAACTCTCCGTGTGAACAGGGCATTCGTTTACTGCCGTGTGAACGCAATTTAATTCGAATAATTCGCTTTATTTTCACTTCGCTTTATTTCACTGCGTATTATATATTTTATGTGCATTCTTGTTGACAGAACAAAACACTGAGATAGAACTTGACAAATTTCCAAAAATTAATAGTTCGTACATATCTCTGAAGCCTATGTACATGTACATGTAACGATAATTTGTTTACAGATTCGACCCGTGGATGGTCCAAACGTAGGTTTCTCATTTTATGGCGCTGGTTCAGTAGTGACATCCGGGAGCTATGACGCAAGTAAAAGATACACGGGTCTGGTGTTTGGCTACAACAATTTTGGGGTGTACGTCTGGAGGGTCAAGCCTACCTCAAGATCTTTTGTTTTTGATATCAGTAGTCCGTGGGGAGGCGGAAAATATAGCCAACAAACTAATGACGTGGAGATTGACATTATCGTTCTTGGAAAGATGTCAAGAGGTTAAGTTCTTAAATCACGTGACGCGATATATTTTCGGAAATAGGCCTTTTTTTTTTTTTTTTTTTTTTGGTTAGTACGCTGAAATTTCCTTATACATCTTAGATTTTCAACTGCTATTTTCATAAGTAAATATTCTTAACATATATTTAAGTTTTATGTAAGATAAGTACGAAACTTAAAATTGTTAAGTACTATTTTAAATTTCAGTAATATATAAAGAAACAGCATTTTAAACTCACAATCACTCTAAATGTACGGAAGCCCGTTGAGGCCAGTTTATAGAAAAAAAAATTATTGTGTTTAAACGCAAAATTATTGCGTTTAATCGCAATAATCATTGCGCAAAACACATTGCGTTTAATTGCAAAAGAGTGCGATTAAACGCAATCTCTTGTGTTTAAACGGAACGATTAATAGCTTTTCAAAAAGCTTGCCTGACTAATCAAGCAATATCTATGGAACGTATACATGTAAGCAAGAGAGGTGCTAAACGTTTCCGTCATCAAGGAGCGACATAGTTGCGATACTTCATTACACAAGATGTACAATTGAATTTCTCAAATCTCATAACCAAATACTGCAGATTAACGAATATCTAAGACATGCCACTATTCAATCATTTATTAGTTAGCCCACGGACTGACAAGTTACGTTGGGATGAAACTCTAAGTGCGATAGCGTAGATATAATTTTGGGGAAAATAATTAGATGATTCTAAAGAAATTCATATTACATGTACTCTCTTACTAGAGGGTGCGCTTCTCTGGTCAGTGATAGATTGATGAGACGGCCTCTTTTTATAGACTGGTCTGTTTTCCGTCGTTCTCGACGTTGAAGTAAATTATGAACAGTTTTAACTGCCTTTTCTTGAAGTGTTTGAGATAAAAATGCAGCTCTAGAACTCAAAGTAAATGGACTGCACACTTTATAGCTGGAGCAAAACAAGATACTAATAACACACAACCCCGGACGAAACTCACGCGCTGATGGTCTTACCATATACATGTACATGTATTATAAATGAGTTTAAAAATACATCTTTATGTGCAGTTTTAAAATTGTTAAGTTTTTCTTTTCAATCGATTTCAGGACTTTTCTCATAATTATAATAACGTGCTTTTATATGAAATGAAAACTAGTACAGATCAGTCTTCTTCATTTTGCCGATTCTTTGCTTAGAACCTTACGGGAGTTAAGTCCATTCCCCTATGGGTACTGACCTACTATTTCTAAGCTTTTTCTAAAAACCTAACCTTGTAACGTACATTATTAATAAATGTAATATTGAAAGAAAAGGTGAGAAACAGACTGAATCAAGAAGGGATGTCCCATTATTAGGTCGAGTGAGTTGTTTATGATTGGACTAGTTCACTTATGGGATAAATAGTAAGAATAATCAGCAAATCCATTGCTTTAGTGTTACCTGCCCATATACAATGTGTTCTTTTAAAAATGAGATAAAATTTACTGTTAATAAAAAATCTGAAGCTTAAGAATCAGGATAAAAGAATAAACGTTATTTATTTCCATAGAAGTTATCACACCCATTCAATAGAACAATCCAAGAAAAAGGCGCGAAGGTAATTACATGTGACCTTTGGCGCGAAATGATTGTCACCCCTTTCGTAGAAGACAAATGGACTGATCCAGTAGTTTAGAAACGCAGAAAAAATGTTACACGGACATGCCCTTACAAAGAATCGCAAAGAATAAATATGTGCATGCCAAAAAACTGAAGGAATTAAACACATCATTATTTTGCATCAGTAATACGATTATTTCTTCTGCAAACTGTATTTGTTTAAATGCAGGTAACAAATTCCAGTGTAAATCAGCTTCCAGAAAATCTAGTTCATAAGAATGATCGCTTAGTTTCGGATCTTGAAAAAAATAATCCTTATACTACCTGACGCACGTAGCGTCAGGCAATAATTTTGCGATTAAACGGAATACTTTTGCGATTGAACGCAATACTTTTTGCGATTAAACGCAATAATTTTGCGTTTAAATCAATAATTTTGCGTTTAAACGCAATAATCTTTGTGTTTAAAGGCAATCATTTGTATCAAACAATGGACCCAACAATACTATCTTTTATTTCTTTCTCTTTTTCACTTATAAGAAATTGTGCTTTGTCTAGCTTTATAGAATCAGATTGCTTCGAGCAAACGCTCTCTGAAAGGATAAATTGCTGATATGAATTTATAGAAGAGAAATGTCGGGTTATAAAAAGAAAGGCATACGTAGAACAAGAAATGTCTTTAACTTATTAGATATCTATATTTTTAATGAAGATTTGGTCAATTGCTTACAATCACAAATCACATTTTCTATTTTGTTATTTGTCTACTTTTTAACAATTTCTGTAAACAATTAGAATGGATCTTCTTAATAGAAGTCTAAAGAATTAAGAAAAAATGGTTCAAAAAATATCCCCCACGTTTAATCCCTGCATGTATAAAGAGGTTAAAGAAACGACGGATGAAATGTTGGAATTGAGTACAACAGAAGTGTTTAGACTTAATTAAATGAAATATTTAAACTTAAATGTATATTTACAACCTTTCCTATGGTTGCATACAGTAAACACGAGAACATAGGCGATGAAATCATATGAGATTAAAATCAAATAAAAACAGATTGATCGATATGTACTACCAAATTGACAGGGGCTATTAATACCACTGAAACGTTCTTAATTAGTTGTTATACGTAAGCAATTGATCAAAGGCTTCATCAAGAATGCTGGGTTATAATACGTTTAAGACACTCTGGTTGTTAAGATGCCATTGTTTTACTACAATTTTTAAAAACTGGAAAATTTTGCAAAAAGTCACAGAATCAAATAGTTCTCTTTGAAGTGTCGGATCCTAGTAATTGTAAGCTTTAGCTAATTAATGTTTGATTATGAAACAACAGTATTATTGTGTTTAAGGCAAAACAAACCCTTTAAAGGAAGGATTATAGCGTGTAAACGCAAAGATTATTGCGTTTAAACTCAAAGATTTATTGCGTTTAATCGAAAATGTATTGTGTTTAATAGCAAAATAATAATTGCGTTTAAACGCAAAAATTATTGCATTTATACGCAAAAATATTATTGCGTTTAAAAGCAAAAACTATTGCGTTTAATCGCAAAAATTATTGCGTTTACGCAATCTGTTGTGTTTAAACGCAATGTTTATTGCAATTAAACGCAATATTTTGCATTTAAATGCAATAATTATTGCTTTTAAACGCAATAAAAATGTTTCTTTCCCTGAACTGGCCTCAACGGACTTCCGTATAAATGTAAGAGAGACGTGCCGGTATATTGAATGATGCTACAGTACAGCTCACGAGTATCTTCCGGAAAACACCGGCCACGGTGGACCCTTGGTCCACGCTTTTGCGTGGACTTTGAAAAATGTCGGTGTCTTTGATGTTTCGTTTTAAGCGCTAAGCTGGCACACGGTGCGACACGGTGTGTACACGGTGGGACACGGTGCGTTTGCTCCGTGGAACTCCGTGCTGGTTAATCAACGTTAAGTGGTATGAAATGACTTTAATATAATTCATTGAAGATTTTAGAATAAAAAGCATTGAAATGCATATCATCCGCAGCGTGCATTTTCCTACTTTCGATATTGTACTGACGTGTCAATGAATTTAACAAAGACGGAATTTTACAATCCAGTCAGCAATCTTGTGTTATTTGGAAGATATCTTCTTAAAAATTATTTTGTTTGTAAAACAAAAGCTAAATTCTAAATTAAAAAAAAAAAATAAGAAAGGAATATTCTGCATTTGTACTGTGCTCAGGAAATCCATGTGGAATTGTCAATTGATTATCTTATCCGACGTACTTTTTTTAAAATTATAAATTACTGTAGAAACTGGTGTATATGTAAATAATTACTACATCAAATTACGACACAGAAAAAATATTGTTTAATTTAATTTGAATCGGATGAAAAAAAAAATAGTTATGAAAAGATTGACTTAAATTTCCGTCCCGTAATGGAACCCATATTGAGATGAGACCCGATGTAGTCTCTGTGTAATGAGTAAATCTCTGTCCAGCCCATCAGAAAATATGAAATGTTGATATTCAGGTATTGAAGATGCCCCACTTTTTCATCTGTGTCTGTAATTGTTCAGAATTATGTGTAAAATATAAACCTTAATATTTAACTTGCATTTTGTGTACAGATCGAAGCATTATGGGCACAACATTTCCACAAAACTTGTCGCCAAGAATAATCACAATATGTAAACAATAAGATGTAAAACGTTATTAATAATTATGCTCAACAATTGTCAATGACGTCGATAATGGAAAAAATTTCTAATGATACTATTCAATGAAAATGATATTTCTGCAATATGTTCTATGTTAAACAATGATGTAAAAACTAAAAAGCCAAACAGTTTTCTTCCGTAACGTGTATGGAAAAAAAAGTCTGCTTTAATTGTTAATAGGTTCACTGCCTAACTAAGCATATGCATAGGAGATCTGAAAAACTAGATTGAAAATTTTATATTTTACTAGTACGTAGCGGAGATTTTTCAAACCATTAAATAAAAGCAAGCATACTGTATATGTGCTCTCCCTACATGTAATAACAGCCCCCCTTTCCATAATGAGTTTTATGGGTAATTTCTACACGGACATGTTAAAAAAAGAACAATATTTACATATGTCTATTTATTGTATTACCTGTCCTTTTTAAGGATTTATTCTAATCCTTTTCAAAAATAACATTTTAATGATAAATAAAATCAACGAAAGAGAGACAATTTTACGACATGGAGAGTTATGATTTTTTTTTTCTTCATTTCACCAGTAAGTTATGTTACAGTACATAACGACTTTATATAAAACCAGTTGATTAATATTCGAATAATATTCGTTTGTAACTGAAACTTGTTTTTTTTTTTTTTAAATAAGTTGCTGTACTAAAAATTCTCTAAACAATTAAATAAATAGTTGTTTATTTTTCAAGTTCCAATTAACTTC